CACGAACGAGAACAGAAAATTGGATAAGTGATTAAAAAAATTTAAACAAACAAATAACAAATAAGTTCGGCCAAGAAAAAATAAAAAACTAACAGGGTACCCTTATCTTATTCATTTTCTTCATTTTTTTTTTGGCGATGGATAACTTTCAGTCAACTGAAATTAATACAACCAAGCTCATCCAAAAATAAAATAAAATAAAATACAACCAAAGTTACAAAGTAGAGGTGAACCATCTTGTTACTTCTAATATTAGTGTATAGCAGCAAACAAGATGCAATCTTGCTTTTATAACACGGATGGTGAGAGTTAGTAGGGCTTACTCTCTATTGTATTTCACTAATCCAAACCGTTTATTTGTATATATTCATTCAAAGATCATATCCATAAAAAATCACTTGAATCAGATATCATTTGACCACTCAATTGAATTATTGAATTTTAGTACTTTCTTAAAGTACCGTGTTTATTGATTTTGTATGATAAAATTGGATGTCGAAATGGTTTCCAATTTGTCTAATTTTTTGCAAGGATGAATGTATATTTAAAAAATATATTGTTTGGATCATTGAAAAACTTTTTGTAGAAGACCTTAAAAGGTGTCCCTCAAATAAAATTATTTGAGAGATCTCTTAGTAGAAGGGGACTATATATTAATGATTTTTGAGTTGATAGCACACCGGAACTTTGAGATCCTCCAATGAATTTATCCAATATAAATGTTGGATAGAGAGATTCTTTGCACTAAACTCAAATATTTAAATTGATTCAGATGCCTTGAATAACACAAGTAAATACATAGTCTGCCTTAATCATTTGCAGTCATATAATTCTTCAAAAACAAGAAACTATTTTTCTTTATATATCCAATGATGATAAAGAAAGGAGAATGCAATCTTCAGTCTTGTAAGTACCTAATAAGTTCGGTTCTTTAAAAAAAAAAAAAAAGTGTAAGCATGCAAATCCTCGAACCAGACGGTGCCAATTCCCGAACCTAAAACCTTAGTTTTATCACAAAACCAATAAATCTGGAACCAACCTTTAATTTTCTTTCTTATCAATGAACATGAGATATTGAAGTTTGAGATTATTATTTTTTTGTTTGATAATATTGTTCAACGTTGAGACTCACCATATAACATAATATAATAATTTGAACGGTCTATTTTACAAAGTATATAAATAAAAGAGAGAATTGACGAAAAATCATATTTGACCAGAAACAGAAAATCTTGTGATGGAAGGAGACACTAAAAAAATTACAAGATATGTATGCACACCAAAAAAAAAACAAAGATTTGTTTAAAAAAAAATACAAGAAAGAAAATATGGTGCATTGTATCATGACATGTGTCCCTGAAGGTAAGTGAATCAGCTCTCGTTGCGTCTTTTTGTTATATGAATGAACAATTTATTTAATATTTTGGTTTTTGTTTGTTTGTATGGGAAAAGAGAGGACCAAACAAGCCATTATCAGAGCCTATCAAAGAGAAGAAAACGAACTGACGGAGCTGACGCTCTAAAGAACCAGACCAAAGCCACCCCTTTCCTTCTTTGCTGTTTTCGAGGTTAGTTCCTTGGCACACTCTTCGGTACTCTCTCTCTCTGTGGATTTATAGATGGGATATCACAAATTCTATACCGTTGATTGTTGTCCTGTAGTTTAGGAACCAGAAAGAACATACGTTTAGGTACACAGACTTTGATCTAATCTCAAGCTTAAAGCTTTTATTTTTTTGTTATGTTCTTTCTGATTTTGAGGAATTGGCTGCTGGGTTTTGTTTCTTGATTTGTTTGGTCAAATTTTGATTTGGGTTATTTGGTATTTCTTGTTTTGGGTCATCTTGTTGATTTGATGATGATATTGATTGCTCATGAGTTTATCTGGTCTCTGTTTGGTTTCTTGGAAAGTGATGACATGATTGCTGTTATAGTTGACTAATTGTTGAAATTATGTGTATATATGTTGGAGCTGGAGTTCAGCTTAAATTGGTGTGGACCGTACGTATGTTCATGCTTACTAATTTCAGATTGCCAAGCAAAACAGCTAATTGTTGTGTATGATTAATGTGGTGTTTCACTTGCCTTTGCATATAAATTGTTTGCTTCTTAAGATGATACGGATTCGACCATAGAAAGTTACAGTAGTCAGATGCAAATTGAAAAATTTGTGTTTGTGTGTGTGTCTGGAGTTCATCGGAAAGGGTTTTGCCCAATATTGCATATTCATGAAGGGTAGACTAGATTGCAAAAGATAAACTTCTAATTTCAAATTGCCAAGCAGAAAAGCTAAGTATTGTAATTTGTATATGATTAATATCGTTTTTTGCTTTCTTTATAATGGATATCATTTGCTTCTGTGAGATTAACAAAGTTGGACAATACAAAACTACAGTTGTTAGATGTGAATTGAAAAGTTTGTGCAAACACAGTGAAAGTTTTGGTCCGTAAATTTTTGAGATGGTGTGGATAAAGACTTCCTTTCGTAGAGATATATTGACCAGATGAGATTCAGGGTTAATACAAGTTGAAATATAAGTATATCAACCAATAGTTGGTTTCTTACTTAGTTAATATGTCATCACTAAGGATCAATAGTTGGTTGTTTCTTGACTGATGACTATATGCTATATTTCTGGAAAGTTATTTTATTCATATTTACAGGTTCTTTATATATCATTTTCCTGAGTTTATTTTCATGCTATCAGTTGCTTCCCAAAGTTATAAGTTACTTTACTTCATTAGGTTCCGGGATAAGAGATGAGTACACTGGATGCAACTAGAGCAGAACTTGCTCTTGCAGTTCTGTATCTGAACAAGGCTGAGGCCAGGGACAAGATATGCAGGGCAATACAATATGGCTCAAAATTCTTGAGTAATGGAGAACCTGGAACAGCCCAAAATGTTGACAAATCAACTAGTTTGGCACGAAAAGTTTTTCGCCTTTTCAAGGTTAGGATCTGTGTGATATAATTATGTAGAATATGTGGTAAAAACATGCTTTACGACTGTTGTGGTCCTTTAAAAAATTTCTTGTGGAAAAACCTGAGGGAAGAAGGATAGTGCTTACCAAATGGTGTCTCCTTGAAGTGTTTTCTGATCCTCTCGTGCACTTATTAAAAGGAAGCAAATGGCCAAACGAAATATGACATTGATCTTGATTTTCAAGCATTTATATTCTTGAGCATTTTATGAATTGTCTGCTTGGTTTCAGTTTGTCAACGATCTGCATGGTCTTATTAGTCCAACTCCTCCAGGAACTCCTCTCCCACTTGTTCTGCTCGGAAAGGTATTATAATAATCTAATTCTTTGTCTTCTTATTCTAAAATCTAGATTCTTCTTCTTTGTCTTATTGATGACATTTAATCTGATGCTTCACAGTCCAAGAACGCATTGCTGTCAACTTTTCTATTTCTTGATCAAATTGTCTGGCTTGGTAGAACAGGTATCTATAAGGTATGTATTATCACATACTTTTCCAGTTCAGTTGTTCTTTACTGGATTCTGTGACACTTATTGGAATAAATGCTTAGAAACTAATGTTTTTTTTGTAGAACAAAGAACGTGCTGATCTAATTGGCCGGATCTCTCTTTTCTGTTGGATGGGTTCCTCAGTTTGCACTACTTTGGTTGAGGTTTGTTGCTTCCCAACTTATGCCTCTCATTTACTAGCATGTACTCTTGTTTTGAGATGTGCATGGCATGAACAATGTGTTCCTATTGGTTCCTAAATCAGATTGGGGAGATAGGAAGGCTTTCTGGACAGCTTAAAAAGTTGGAGAAGGATCTGAAGAATAGTGATAAGTATCAAGTATGTTGACCCGTCACCTTGTACAATGCATTGACCTTAAAATAATTGTCTTGGTGTAGATTACTGTATTCTTTTAACATTTTTCATGTGGTTTTTCTGACTGCAGAATGAACAATACCGTGCTAAACTCAAAAAATCAAATGAGAGGTCACTAGCCCTGGTTAAAGCAGCCATGGATACAGTGGTAGCAGCTGGGTTGCTTCAGTTGGCACCTAAGAAAATTACTCCTCGTGTTACTGGAGCCTTGGGATTTACTACCTCTCTGATATCCTGTTATCAGGTTTTTATGCTACCAAATTCTATTAGTGTCTGTCTTTGTGAAAGCTTAATAAATCTGGTGCCACCTTTCTGACAATGTATGATTGGCCTTGGTCTTCGTACGGTTTCAGATTGTTTAAACTGATAGTCCACATTTGTTTGTGTGATGCAGTTGCTTCCAGCTCCAGCGAAGTCCAAGACAGCCTAAAGAACGAAGTCTGCTTCCTCAATGTGCTTCAGTCTCCTTTTAATAATTGTTTAGAATTGCAGTATGAATCTTTGTTAGTGCAAACGTTTGAGCAATTTGCAAACTAGGAGGGTGAACCTAAAATTTGACCTTTTTACTGTCACTACAATTTCCTGTTCAATAGAAATAATATATGATGATGCTCCCTCTCGCATGAATAGGAAAATGATCATTTGACAATTGTATATTGAACGTCTGGGAGGCTTTGTATGCAGATGTGAATTCTATGCCGACCCTTTTTTTTTTTGGGTATCTTTTGAAGACGAAAACTAAAATTACAAGGAGGGTCCTCTAAAGATCCCTAAGACGGTAAATCAAAATTAATATTACAAGCCACGGTAAAAGTAAAATTAGTAAGCCAAAATATTTTGAGAGTGATTGATTTCGAAATTGAAGCTAATTTCACCGTGTTTCTGAATGCAAGACAGAAACTTGTGTGATCATCATTTCCTTGTTTCTGAATTTGTTTCACGTGTAAATTTGGGAAAATTTGGGGAAACTATTACCATCAACACGATAAATAGTGATTCAGATTCACCAGTTCAAATGACTTAAATCCTAATTCTGTTTGTTTCTCCACCGCTATCTCCTTTAATTATTTTTAATTAACAATACAACGGAAAAGGAAAACGCCATGAAACAGATCTTAAATATTCACACCCCATACCATACTACAACAAGAACTAATAATTACTTTGTATTGCATAGGATTAATGTTTTTCAGCACATTAAAGAAAGAGCTACAATAACAGTTTATGACACTATCACATTATCACTCTCACTTTGAGTGGCTATATAGCACTCAAAAAACTAGGCCCCGGATGTCCAATTCAAAGCAGGAGGATAGGAGCCGAGGTTTAAAACAGAAAAAGAAAAATACCGTAACTTGATACATAAGAAAATTACAGCAACTTGATACATACGTACAGTTAAACCACGAACTCTTCATCCATTCCCTCTTCCACGTCATTCCATTCAAATTCATCAAAATCCGCTACATTTCCTTGCAACATATTTACAAATGGCAGCATGTCTCTAATATCTCTCTCCATGTCCAAATCCGCGTTTACATTGGAGTCATTCTCAGGTAAGCTCGGTTGGATGTTGCCCTTGGCTTGCATGTTGTTCTTCAACACAAACTGCCCAGATGGTTCATGAATTTCAACACCAAATGCGGGTGATAACGACTTCCCCTTAACTTGAACATGAGACACGCTGTAGTATGCAAAGACAATGAACACAAAATTAGAAAACATGCAAAAAATACTCTGCCACATACCTGCAACACCGGTCATAACAAAAAATTGCAATTTTAAGAAACAAACAAAACTGAAATTCAGTTTAGCTACCCAGTGTCCCGTCATTCTCATAAACAGTTGAGTTACATTCAGATGAGAAAAAAGAGGTTTTTTCCACTATCACATGAGACTTTCTGTATAATCCAAACATGTGAAGGAACAAAGTAGCAAAATTTCCCCATGTGAGGGGCATCAAATGGCAGGAAACAACCAAGTAGTAAAGTGGGTTATTGAATCAGCTAGTTAAAATGCAAAACTGACACTTCCTGCTCATCTATTCCATTGAGCAATATTCTGCACTCCTCCTGGGGTGTAATATTTCTGTCTGCTCATCTATTACATTGTCTTGTTTCCATCCAGAAACCCATGTGTCAGCAATAACATTTACCTGCTCTAGAACCTAAAACCTAAAAGATGCCCTTTTCTTTTCCTTTGCATTATGCAATGTTTGTCCATTTTCATTACATCAACATACAGGAACATAAGAAAGAGGGTTGTTCGAGCCTATATCTTATGATACTGTCAGCTGGTAAGATTTTTCTCTCTTATTAACAGAAATATCAAAGACCATAACATGATAATAGGCAGACATAGTACACTTCTATTTCTTAAACGCCAAAGAGAAGATACACAGACCAATGGAATATATTAGGAGAAATTTATAAATAAATAAAACATGTTTCTTCAGATGACATAAACATACACAATGAATCATGAGAATTAATTTTGAGGGCTTAAGGTGTCAGCCATAATAATCTTTAAAGACTAAGTATTGAAATGAGTAAAGAAGAAGAGTGGAGCTATTATCACCCAACAGCCCACTGTTCCCGTCCTGCAATTTTTTCATCTTTTTTATGAGCACGAATTTTATTTTATTTTTTTGGAAAAAGATTATGAGCACGAGTTTTCATTCTGTTAAAACATATTACTTAACCAACTCACCAGTACTTCCACAATATTCCTAAATGCAAACCCTACCCTTTTTATATCGGTTTGAACCACATCACCCCCTGTATGTAATAGCATTGTTCTACCATAATCAAATATCAAATCATGAGAAACAGTACCGGAAGGGGCCAACATGACTCCTGATCGTAATGTAAAAGAAGTATTAAACCAACCATATAAAAAGAGCCAGGCTACCAGTTGCCAAAAAACCCTCACTACTTAACCCACTCACTCATATTGCCAGGTGTGAATCGTAAAACCCCTTGGCTGGGGCGATACCCACCAGCATAATATTGTAATTAAAATAATGGTATAATTTTAGAATTATTGCGCTCATTTTTTTTTTTTTAAGTTTGTCCTTTCAACTAACTTCAGCAAGGAATAAAATTATATTTAAAAAATTCTCAAAAGGAGGTGGGGTGAGAATTTTGAGAATGATAATTGCACTCAAGAAAAATGAGTACGTGACTTCACCAAAAAGAAAAAAAGAGTGGAACCAACCATATATAAAACAAGCCATCCATTTCTTGTCTCTGAACTCTACCCAGAAGCTCAATCTGCAAAAATCCACCTATGCAAAGAACTGGTTCCGGAAGCTTGAATGTCTGCAAGATATTTTCCTGTTTGTAAGGAAGTCATTGGTTAGCAAATGTAAGTTAATTGGAAGATCAAATAGGTGCTTTAACATTCAAAAAAATGCTAAATAAATTTTTCAAGGGATGGAAGATTTAAAATCGATGTAAAAAAGGGTAAATTGAGTCTATAGTCAATCATAAACTTGTGATCCTAACATTCCAGGGATGCGTCAAACATGTATCACAATCTAAAACTGCAAACCCAAGGTTTCTGGTTTCAAAACAGTAATGAACGTCTACAAGATCCATAATCTGAAAACTTGTCTAGTGTGCATTTCACCCATTTTATCATATTTGAAGATCCTTCTCAATGGAAACAGGAGGTTGCTTTGTCCAAAAAGGATATTATGTATAAACGGAACCATTTCACAACAAATAAGATACAAATGCAGAAAGCCGGGGGAGAGTTATAGAACAGGTAGTACACACCTGAGTCATTGGGAACACTTGTGAACTGTAGGTCCATATAAACTTGTCTTCAGGAAATGATTCACCCATTGGATCACTCTCTACATCCATGGGGGACTTGGCATGCCCAATTCGGAAACGCACAGCCTTGGCTGAATATATGGGTTCACCGAGCTGGAAATAAGCTGTCAACAGGAAGAAAGAGAGATTGATTGAGAGAGAGAGGAGTCAGAGGTAAGTTTAAAATGTGAAAACAAATTGGAAATGTCCATAATTTCGGAAATTCAAACACTTGCCTTTGAAAGGCTGTATGTTGATTTCATTAATTACAACAAAATCAGACACCAGCTTGTATATCAGCATCTCAGGCACTGCAGGGTCACTTTGGCCTTTACTCGACCAGTACGAAGCTCTCCGTCCCACCACATCTCTTGGTTCTAGAGTATTGTGAATGCTTTCTTCTGGAAAATTGTCAGTGCTGGAAGCGCTCAATGCCCTCTTAATGGAATCCCCAACATTGAAAGATGTAAAACCACAAGCTAAAAATGCATAGACCCTATGCTCCCTTTCCAAGGTTTCCAATTCCTTTGAATTGCTAGATCCAACTTCTGCTTTTGTGTCAGGGTTGTTGATTTCAATCACTTGAGCAACTCTGGATAACTGAGGGAACATTCTCAAGCACAGCTTCTTACAAAGACCATTTTCTATCACTGCAAAACATTAAAAGTTCCAAACTCTTCAGTCTCATTTGGTAAGACAAGATGTCTTTGGACTAAAGGGATATAAATTTTCTAAAAAATACCAACATGGGTTTCCATCATTCAAAATATCAACCCAAAACAGGAGTGAACCTTAATTATCATCTCTTCCAAAATCCGCAAACTAAGAAATTGATGCAATCACAAAGACAACCAGAAGAAAAGATATTAATTGGAGAATCAAGCCAGTAATAGAATATTCAAGGGAGAGCAGAGACAGCACATACTACTTACCAGCTACAAACAACTAAAATGGAACCACTTATTTTTCAAAAAACATAAAACTTTCTATCTTTCCTACATTGATTTAAGTATTGAGCAACATGCATTGTGTATATCAGACACAATCAAAAGTAGAGTTATACCTAAGGAAACTTAAGAAAGCAATTGAACTAAAATATATAAAACTGCTTCAGCTCACCAAAATGACGCCAAGATCGGGAAACAGAACTAATGCGAACAAGATCAGTTGGATCGTCCAAACAAGTTAGGACCTGTAATGACATGTCAGGATCAAGCCAGTTCAAGAAATCCATACAGGGACCCATATCAAGTGACTTCAACAAAACTCGGGTGCCTCGTCGAGCCTCAAAGCCTGATTTCACATTGTAAGAGACCCCTCAATACAGTTTAAAATGAAAATTGGAGACAAAAATATGTATTAAAAAAATATTATATGCAATGCAAATTCCCTCCATGTATAGAGTGCTGTCAAACTTGACACGAATTACAATTCCTCCCAAAACCACTGAAACCCATCATAAGAACACTGTAAAAGCCAAAATTATAAGAGCTGAAAGCATCCGAATTCCTCACAAGCAGAATTAAGAAAAACAAAGAAATAGCCACTCCAAAAACAATCAAATTGATCACATTGCTGTCATGCATGACATCAAGTACAGTACTTTTGTGTCGAAGATCGACGGCGATGATAACGATATTGGTGGGTATAGGGAAAACCACAAGTTTTTCACATTATCTATGTTTAGAAAACATTAAATCATAAAACAAAATTCAAAACTGTAAACTTATATGTTCTTTAACAAAAATGCAGCAAATCGAGGAAATTGAAGCGAACCGTCAGTGGAAAAAAGATAAATTGGAACAAATCTTTTTTCAAAAGAAAATACAAGAGGACAAGTAGAGAAATCTTACAAGAAAGCATCGAATTTTTACCTTTTGTTCACGAGCAAAAGTGTCTCTGAAATGCTCAAACCCTAAAAGGAAAAGATTGGAGAGAGAGAGAGAGAGAGAGAGAGAGAGAGAGAGAGAGAGAGATATTGGAGAGAGAGAGAGAGGGAGGGAGGGAGGGGAGAGATGTTAGTGATAAGCACAACAGAGAAAGGTGGCGTATAATTACCCAATTAAATCGTTTTGTAATTTGATATTTGTATTGTCTAAATTCATTCGCCGTAAAAATAAAAATAAAAAGTTTAGCAGCGAGTTTAGCATTTCCGGGTGTCTCAAAAGGGTAGTTTTTATTTTTTGTGTTATTTTATGGTTTATAAATTATTTTAAAAGATAATAATTTTTTGTTATTTCTTCGATGTCTTGGAGTGAGCGGTAGAGAAAATGAGATGCGCTCTTGCCACCTAACAAGTTAACGAGTTCGTTAACAGTATCGGTAACAGAAATTTTTGTTGTTGCCAAAGTTAGAAAAAAGAGGGGGACTTTCTCACCGCACGCTTCTAAGATGTTATAAAAGAATAAGAACGCGAGATCACTAATCATGTAAATGTTTCATGAGCTTGTGTATGTGCTTGTTGGTCTAGAGATTAATCTAATTTGTGAAAAAGAGAGATTCGAACTTCGGTGTCAATTCGTTACAAATTATTATTTTTATCTTTTTTTACTTTTATCATTTGATATTTGGTATACCCTACAACATTACTTTGGTTTTGCTCCATCTGAAGGGACACCTTTAACCCCAAGCATTGCTTACTTATTTATTCAAAATGTATTTGAGAAAACAAGTTCCACTGATTCTACAGTGGATTCTGCTTTATGAAAAGGAATATAATTCTTTGTTCTCTGGACACGATTGCTTGGTGCGTGAAGGTCCACTCACTTAGTATATTCATAATATTCTATAGTTTTCAACTTTTCATCGTATAGACATTGGTTAAAATAGTGGTTGAAGCAAATGCTTTTTCAGGAAAGGTTGTTGGTTTAAGTTTTAGCATCTGTATAATGTGTGTGAGTTTAATATGGGATTGTCCGTCGTAATAAGAAAAGTCATGTGTGAATTTAGTATGGTATTGCCCTCTCAAAAAAAAAAATTCTAAAAATAAAATAAAGAGCTTTTTTCTTACTCCAACCAACTCATCTTAAATATCACTTGTCATGTGTAGTTTTCAACTCTCAAAAATTACTTTCGTGTATTCCTATGGTCCTTTTGGTTATCACTTTACAAAATTATAAAATGATTAAAGTTTTAAATTAGTAAAAAATAAAGAGCATTACATGAGTGGCATTATAATATGATTAACTATAAAACTTTTGTGGCATTTGATGTTAAATTTGACTAAGACATTTCTCCAGATGCTCTATTATACAATGTGTATGCTGCATGACCGTTCTAGTTAGTAATTAAATGTAATACTAACTTTTGCTAGAGGCTAGATCAACCTCCATATTTTTTTTCCTACAATCGATATTGGTGGGGGCGGGGAAATCAAGACTAAAACATCGCGTATAGGAGTATATGTTCTTAACCACTTGAATTATAAACCCCTTCCACCTCTAAACTCATATTCTAGAAAATTGCCACCTTCTTTTGGTGATATGTAAAGGTAAAGCGCAGTTAGGGGTTAGCGAGATGGCATGCCCCCAAATGCCCATTCAAGGTCCAACAAAAGTAGGGATGAATTAGTGTTATTTATGTGAAAGCAAAGTCAAAAGCTCAAACTCAAATGGAAAAACTCAGAAATGGTTAGGAAGCCACCAAACTGGCAAAGCATAATTTTGCATTGCAATTAATATTGCAGTGCAAAATAGATAGGTTTAATTTGGCCTTACATAATCCAGTACCAAGAATGTAGTTGTTTTCGCTTTGCATAAAAATAAGCCTAGTTGCTTGAATGAGGCAATGGCAAAAGCTTAATGAACGTAATTAACAAAGTAAAGGAACACAAAATTCAATGTGTACAACCTCAAATTTCAGAGCTTTAAGATTTTTGTTATAACATTTCCATACATGATTTATTGTCTGCATCACTCTTAGCTAAAGCCTTGTCCTGCTTTCTGTTTCCTCATATTTCAAGCCAAAAACCCTTCAGCTGTTACCTCTGCAATAACCTGCCAATTTTGCAACATTCTTCACCATAGTTCAATCTCATTTATACGCATCCAATCAGCCAATGGCTCTATCTAGAAACAAAATAGAGAAGCAAAAATAATGGACAAACAAAGTTATGAAAGTAATGGACAATCTGCTAGTCAATTTCCCAGATGCATCATGCATGCACAATTCAATTCTTCGGTTGTAGGCAAAAGAAGATCCCGTCGCTTCCATTCCCTTGGCGCCCAAACCAGTCAAAGGGCTTCTCATTCAGTGTCTTGAGGGATTGTGTTAAAGAAAACCAAACTAGATGAGAAGGGAACAAGAAACAAGAAGGAAGCTCTTTGTGGAATGAAATTCATCGATTACTAGTGATCACAACTCACAATACATAAAGCATTCTCTGCAAACCAACACTTCAAATAGAAGATTACATATACACATTTTACTTCTAAAAGACACCAGATGCCCCTAAACACAACCACTGATTTCAATCTTTTATTTCTTAGAGCTGCCGCACATCCAAGGGGTCGCACACTTCCTATAACTAGTAATTTGCAGCTCTACCTGCCTACAAAAACAAGCTAAGGCTCTTTTGCTACACCACTAGGGTATATAAACACAGAGTCTACGCAGACACCGCCTTTGGTGTGAGTGCAATCGATCTGGGTCATCGAATATTTGATCTTGATCAAAGCATGAGGATTGTCAACAACAAAATCTCCCACATGGTAATCGACCCAGTTTCCAGGATTATCCAAGTAACATTGGGATACAGCACGGTGACCATTAGAAGTTGATAGCTCAAACCTCACTGGTTTTTTGTTCCAGCCATGAACATGCTCAGAATTGCATACTCTGCGACCCAATCTCTTTGAGGATCTGCCAAGGTGGAGCCTAAAGAACAGGCTGTATCTACCTAATGGAAATTGAAACTCAAACTCTCCACTGACTTCAAACCACCAGGTTTGTTGGAGATAGGCGACTGTCTGGAATCTACACAATGGAACAGAAAACACAACAGAGAAAGTTCTTCCGTCATTCAGATTTTATGGCACAAGAAATATGATCATTATAGAAAGATCACAAATCAACAAGGTACGTAGCTTTGCAATTATCGGGCAAAGGTGACAATTGAAGCTCTGGCTGGTTCCTGGCTCATCAAATTTCTAACATAAGTACTTTAAATACTCACCTAGATTCATCAATTGCTATGAAATTCCAATACCTCCTATCATCTATCCCTGTAATCGATAACGCCTTCGAAGAAATCGACAAACAGATACCACCCTTGTTTTTATCTAGCCAAATTTCCTTCACAAAACAAGAAAAGCACCCAAATTAAATAAACTAAATTTACTTAAATGCAAAATGAACCTTCCTAGAGAGAGAGGAAAAACAAAAGCAGTGTAGACTAAGAGAGTTACCTTTGTGCCACCATCAAAGGACTTAGACCTGCAAAGCCTCGCATAGATATCCCTCTTCCCTGAAATCTTCAACTTTGTAGTTTCATCAAACACCCTGTCTACAATAAACCGATAATTCGGTGGCAACTTCGATTCCCAGATGAAATCAGCCGATGAAGCACCGCGAAAAGCCCGGTTCAACCGGGCCAATTTGCAGATCTCAGGAGGGTCCATGTTCATCAAAACCATTGCCACACAGCTCTCTGGTAAATCCCCAAGCCTTGGCTGCACCAAACCCTCCTTATCCGAAACTCTACCCGATAAATTAGCACCCATCCCCCACCAAACCCCACCCGAAACGAAACCGAAATCCCAGAACCCGAATCCGATATTAGACTATATATACCAAAAGACACAAAACCCAGAAGCTGTTTTTGGTCTAATCCTTGAGTTTGAACCTGAATTTGTAAATCTTTTGGGAGAGATTTAGAGAGAGAAATGTGAAGCAAACAGACTCCACCCCTGAGTTCAGATTCAAATACATGGGCTTTTCGAAACCCAGAAACTAAAATCTGAAATTGTAAAACTCTGCAATCTAATTCTAATCTAAGCTAAAATCCCAGAAGGAAAAAAGTAAGAAAATAAGCTGAATCTTTGAAAGATCAAATATTTCGTGGGCGGTTATAGAGGGAGACATAAATAGCAACGCCCTGTACCTTGAGGATCAAAGATCAGGGATTGTACGGACACGTACGGTCCAATTTCTTCTTCTTCTTTTTCTTTTTCTTTTTCTTTGTTCTCCCGGAGACGAATTTCTCGGGATTCTGATTTGGATTTCTGAGGTCGACGAATAAACAAAGCAGCAGCTTCTTAAAACAGTGAAACCTCGTACGCGCGCTCTGTTTTCCGAGTTTACCGCGGTCAAATTGGTGTTGGATGTTTTATGCCACGCTGTCGTCGGCGCGTGGTGGAATTTAGTTTGATTAAAGAACTGCCCACTTGCATTCTTGGATTGCTTTTCCTCTTTTTTCTTCTTGATTTTTGGAGGATTTTTCTTCTTTCTCCTACTTTTTTTTCGGGATGTTTGTTAATGATGTTTTTTGTGTGTCTCAATGACTCAGAAGATTTGTTAAAGATGTTATGGATAACAATGAATAGATAATGCTCCATTTTGTCTAATCATGCAATTATCTATCTTTTTTTCTATTTAAATTGCACATTAACATTTAATTAAACTGTTTTTAAGAAATCGAGAACGTAATAAGAAACTTGAATAAATTTGACAAGTTTATAAAATTCGTTGTAATTGATCAAATTTGAGAGTTCGCAAATCATAAAGATCAAATTCGATGCAATTGAAAATATATGGACAAAAGTGAAACTCATGAAAAATTTACATGATTAGCGGTCTCACATTAATCCTTAAATTTTGTGAAATCAACTTGTGTTGTGTCCACTAGTCTCTCCACTTTCAATATTTTTCACCTTCTTGGTAAGAAGTAGCACTCAACATTTTATCTTATTATCAATTGGTTTCAATATTTTTCAATATATAATCTCAATTGGTTTGTGTTAATGCACTTAAGACAAATGAAAAGTGCTGTGGCTTTAAC